CAAAGCAGTTTGGAGAGAAAAACAAAGTAAAGAACAAAAAAAAAAAGATTAATCAATTATTAACTTAGTCATCGATTATTTTAATAATCAGTCGTCGATTAATCGACTAATCGTGGCAGCCCTAATGCTCACCTTTAATAACGATAACACATTTACATACAGTATATGCAGTGTTGTATAAAGTACCTCAAAGTGATACTTGAGTAAAAGTACAAGTATCTTATCATAAAAATACTTTGGTAAAAGTCTTTTATAAGAATATTACTTGAGCCTTAAAGTATCTAATATTTTTTGTACGTAATTTTCAAAAGTAAATTTCTGACACAAAATCTATTTAAGTATCAAAAGTAAAAGTACTGAGTAAAAGTGACAAAAAAAAAAGACATTTATTGGGAAGTGACTTCTCCAAAAATATTTTTTTCTAACAGCGTGTTGCTTTGATGGACTGTGTACAAAGTAATAGTGTGTCAGAATGGTATATATTTATACTTCTCATCCAAACAATTAAATTCACTCTATCCAGGTGACAAAATTTATCAGGATAATATATATTTTTTAATAATAAGAATCCGGAATAAAATACGAGAAATGACTTTCTACTTCTTAACTTTTTTAAAAATGTAGTGAGTAGAAAGTACAGATAATTGTGTAAAAATGTAACGATTAAAAGTAAAAAGTACACTGAAACATAATTACACAAGTAAAGTACAGTTAACCAAAATTTCTACTTAAGTACAGTAACAAAGTATTTGYACTTAGTTACTTTACAACTCTGACTATAAGTGAATATATGACGCCTGATCACGTCTTAATGTTACGTACTCCTCACAATAATCRTCAGTAATGATTTACTGCAGCAGACATGGCGAACCATTATTKATGATTAGTGATCAGACCCTGTTAGTTTATTTCTAAGCAGTAGCAGCAGCGAGGTGCGAGTGACAACTGATGCTGCTTCTCTGCCTTCATGTCTTTCTGTCTTCTCTCCTTCTTCTGCAAAGGAATAAGGAGGAATACGATCGAATGTATAATACGACCTCATGTGTAATACGACCTCATGTGTAATACGACCTCATGTGTAATACGACCTCATGTGTAATACGACCTCATGTGTAATACGACCTCATGTGTAATACGACCTCATTTGTAATACGATCTCATGTATAATACAACCTCAGGTATAATAAGATCTCATGTATAATACGACCTCGTGTAATACGACCTCATGTGTAATACGACCTCATGTGTAATACGACCTCATGTGTAATACGACCTCATGTGTAATACGACCTCATGTGTAATACAACCTCATTTGTAATACGATCTCATGT